GTATTTTGATCTTCATCGTTTTTGTTATTTCCTGTAAACAATTATAAATACACAATATTCAACTTCATTATTCTCCTAAAATTATAGGGTTTTTTTTATTGTTTTAAATGAGACTATGAATCACTAGTTGGACACTTCTCTAATAATATCAAAGCTGATCAACCAATCATGAAAAAAACCCTAATATATCTTGAAGTTTGTTCCATATTTCATTATTCTCCTAAAAACATTATTTAATTTATTAGTTCTTTTACATCTAAGTTGACTAGGTATTATATTAGATGAACAAATGAATGGCTAGAGAGATAAATGAGAATTATGAATTTTATATATCTTTGGTTAAGATAATTCCAATATATGCACGTGTGTAGATTAGACTTGAAGTTAGAATTTAATAAAGCTATTTTTTATTCAATAATTTTATATTTGAAGCACAACCTTTTTTAAAGATATAAAACTTTATAACATGAAATAAAATATTGGACATGCATTATCATCTTTATCTATCTTATAAAAACAATTACACATATCCATCTTTACATGTATCAATGTGTAAGATAGGGTCAACAATTATATTAGTAAATAAACTGTTCATCCTCAAGCAAAGCATCTCTTCATTGACAAACAAAACAACTAAAAATACAATAAAAACTTAACCTATTGAAGAGAATACAAATATTAATAAGATGATTTTTTTATCACTATAGAAAAGGGTAGAAAAGGGAAAAAAAGGAATTGTTATATATTTTTTTTATTTTACCAGTAAGAACCTGGAAGGAAAAAGAGAAGAAGAAGATTTGACTCATTATTGCACTGTAGATTTAGGGTTCTGTAAATCTAAGTTGATTCAGAACAATTTAGAACTGGGACACATTAGGTTTTGGGTTGTAAACTAAAACCTCATGCCTTATAGACTGAACGACGTAGTTTTTTAACTGTCTTTTACCACTCAAGGCCACCTGAACCAAACCTTTGTATGCTAATTTGAGACTGGCCCATTAAGGCCCATTCCAAAGTCGTGAGCCGAGAAAAGAACAATATATAGACCGAATGAGTTGGGCCTCTCAAAACGACAGTGAAAAAACAAGGCCATCCCAGGATCAGGGAGATCTTTGACCAATCCGACGACGATAAGAAACTATGAAAACAACCAAGAGTCATCCACTCAACTACTTCTATTCAATTTTTAGGACCTCCCCTCTTCTTGTGCTTCTGCACTTTTTGACAGTGTAATTGCTGTTTCGTACGTTAAAATTGACAAGAGTGAGTTCAATTTCTCTCATCGCACGAAAATTTGTTAGTGCCCTTTCCCTTTTATTGTTTTTCTTGATTAATTGTGTTGTTGATGCTGAAATTATCATGATTTTGATAGATGGGAATTTTGTTTTTCTTTTTTTTTTTCAAAAGAAAACGAAAAGGATTTTGGCATATTGTGAGCAAGTCAATGGAGTCCATGTACAAATCCCAGAAGATGTATTGTAGTTTTTTTGTTTAATTTTTAAGCTCTAGTTCCTTTCTTTTAACCATCAAAGACTTAGACTTTACCGGTTTGGAAGAAATAGATCAAAATGGGCTGCAAATTTTCAGATTCTTCTTTTCTTTAACTTTTGTTCCTTTAAGAAAATGGGATTTTTTTTCTTTCATAGGAAAGAAAGTTGCTACTTTTCTTCTTTGTTGTACATCTTATGACGTCTTATTTTATTTTCTTTGTTGTTGCTTCTTTCTCATAGATGGAACATATGATCAGACCTATTCGAGGTTCCAGAAATGTTGGAACTGGGAACATTGAAGTTGATAACTCAGAAATGAAGGTGTTTTGCGGTTGTATTGATGGAATATTCTCAAAAGTTACTGAGGTGTTTTTTTTTTTGTATTATTAATACTATCAATTCTAAATAAATAATGACTACTTGGTTTTGTTAATATTTTCCTTAAATTCATGTAAATAGATGTTGCAAAGTAGTGAAGAGTTGATTTTTGTCTATTATGTCTTGATTTTCTTACTTACAGCTTACAAGTGTGTTGGATAATGAAATGAAAAGATTCTCACATTAGTAATTTGATATTGCGTTTTTTTACGCAACTTACTTGTTGATTATCAACTGAAACCAGCCTGTTTTGCTTGCAGTTTGAGCAACGAGTAGATGCAGTGGAAAGACACTACGCAGATAATAAACAACTAAATACTGCTAAATGTAGCTCAATTCTGAAGGATAAAATCAAGAAGAAACATTTGATGACCGTTGAGAAGCAACAACAAGATTCTGAAAAGATAACGCAAGACCTCATGCGCCAGTTTGCAGTAATATTTCGCCAGGCAAGTAATTAGCTCTCTGATTATGTAAGAGGTTGCCACTACTTATGCTTTCACGTAAATCAGGAGTTATGCATACTTATGTTTCTGAGTTGTAGATTTGAAGTTTCCAAATCTAGGATGAATTGAGATTTTATTGATCCCCACCCTCTTCATTTCCTCATTTGATGATAGAAAGTATATGCTGTTATAAGGAGTAGAAGGTTTGATGGTCAAATTGCTAGCCTGATAATCTTGTTTGGTTTGTGGGCCTGTACATTCAAACTTCCAGCCTAAATAAATCATAATTCATAGGGGACAAAATAACTGAACTCTATTTCTGCCCTCTTCCGGATGGCTGGGGATGTGATTGAACAGTCTTTCAGAGGTTATGTGACAGTGTTTGGTGCGGTATGCACATATAGAGCGCATAGCAACATTCAATGTTACTATAGAAATTATCCTCCTTTTTTTAGGCTGCCTTGTGTAGTTTCTGTGTCTTGTAACCTGTTTTTGTTTTCCTTCTTCAAGATAAATTGAGTGTTCTGCAGCTCAGAGGGTGTCTTGAAATTTTCACCAAATCTATTCTGTAACTGTAGTGGCTGAAGTTTGCTTAGTGTTTAGTATTGAGGTGTAGGGTGCCTTTTACTCGAAAATGCATCAAAATAATTTATTTTTTTCAGATATTTTTTCATTTTTGACATCAACACATCAAAACCATTGAAAAACACTGAAAAAAATGCATCAATTTGATGCCTTTTCAAGTAAAACGCACCCAAAAGCAGAAGCTATCACATTCCCAAACACTAGATGTCTATCCGGATATTAACCATGTTAATTCATTATGTTGTTCAGATATGAGATTGGACTAAGTTTGTGGTGTCTTTCCATTGATAGAAGTTCATCAATGCTTTGTTTTTTAATGCTATTCATTTTGATTTTTTTGAACTTCTAGTCTGATAAGTATGCCACATAATGTAGTATAGCTTTCCTTCTTCCTTAAACCTTCTTTTCTCTGGTGAAAAATCTAATTGATTTTCTTATCACACATCAGATCACTAAGCACAAGCTGGCAGGGCCTTTTCAGGAACCAGTGGATGTTGAAGGTCTTTGTTTGCATGATTATTATGAGGTAAAGCTTATTGTTACCATTAAAAGTTTCTACTTGTATATATATCTATGATCAACTGATCTGGTTTTTTGTTCCAAAAATAATTTTAGGATCTCATCCACACTTTGGGTTCTAGATTCAAGATCTAAAGAGATAGAAAGGGGGAAGGGTTATGTTTTTCTTTTTTATGATGATGAATTTCTAGATTTCTAGCAGTGGTAATAAAAAATATATTATATCACTTACTAAAACTAATGGACACTAGGCCAGTTTGGCCTTAAATTTTGTTGCACGGAAATCTCAATTCTGCCATATGGAAGAAGCAACTCCCTTCCTGCTTTTTATAGAATTAATTAAACCACTTTTGTGAGAGAAAAAAGGTTGCTGTGGAAGATAGTGGGTATTTACAAAACATCTGGAATTGTTGGTTGGCTATCTGACATTCTAAATTCTACCAGTCAAGAGTTGGAAAGGTGCAAAATAAGATTTTTCTAAGGATTGAACATGAAAAAAAAAATCGCACTTTGAATCTACAAGTTTGCTTATACCTATAATTTTTCTTGCCATGGTATGCTATAGATTTTCTTGATGCATCCTTTTATTTACTATTCATCTTTGTTAATTTCGGAGTTTCCTTGTGGATATATGTATCCTCAGTTAATGTTTAAGGTTGTGCATCCCAGGTTATTGAAAAGCCAATGGACTTTAGTACAATAAAGAATAGAATGGAGGCTAAGGATGGCACTGGGTACAAGAATGTTCGGGAGATATATGCTGATGTTAGACTTGTTTTTAAGAATGCAATGAAATATAATGATGAAAGAGATGATGTCCATGTGATGGCCAGAACTTTGTTAGAAAAAATTGAAGAAAAATGGCTGCAACTTCTGCCTAAAGTTGCTGAAGAGGTATATTGCTACCTTTGATTGATTGCCCTTTTCTCACTGGAAATAGCTTAACTGTTTTCTCAGCACCCCATCTGACGTGAGAGGTGAATTGCTACCCTAGCCTGAATATTGTTTTGCCTAGGAATTGCTTGATTCTCTACAGCAAACCGAGTCTGATAATTCTTTTCTAAATCTCGTTTTCTATTTGGTACTTTCTATTGTTGGGTGAATTCAATATTTAAATGCTTGCAGGAAAAAAGACGAGAAAAGGAGCAAACAGCAACTCAGGTGGCTACAAAACTAGCTGAGGAGGCTTCTCATGCTAACATGGCTCGGGATTTAAGCAATGAAGTATGTGAAACTTCAGAGCCTTTTCGTAACTCACTGTTTAATGGAAGGAGATGCTTTTTTTTTTTTTTTGCATACACTGGATGACGTCCCTCTATTAAATTGTTTAATATTGTATAAGAATATATCTCTTACATGGGTTGAACATTACATGTTAAATTTCTGTCAGCTGCATGAAGTTGATATGCAATTGGAGAGAATCAGAGAAATGGTGGTTCTCAACAGCAGGTTTGTTCAGCAGCTCATGTTCAGTTTCCTGCTATATAACTTTGAACTCAACTTTTATTGGTTCAGATAGATTTTCCATGGTGTTTTACTACTGTATGTAGGACATTCATGGTGTTTTCTTTGTTTTTTGAAATTCTCCAAACAGAAAAAAAGAGTTGGGATGAAGTGCCAGTACATATTGATTTTCAAAAACAAAAGTGTTATTCTTAATGTCTCTAAAGCTTTATTTTAGTTTTTCTACCTGGAATCTGAGCTGGTGAATGGCATGAACAGCTAGTCTTCAGCATAGCTTGGCATGCGGGTTTGTTCTTATTGTTCAATTTATAGACGAGTCATTCACATTTATGGACACACTGTTGAGTCCGAAAAAAAATCCAAAATTATGCTTAATCAATAAATTTTTTGAATCTTGTGCTGCACTAACAAAAACAGAAAATTAATGAAAAGGTCGGAGCAATACGGAAGAGTTATTAATTTAGTACTTGTCCCCATTTATACTGATATAAAGCTGATCCTCGCACTCTGTTTGTTGAATTCTCAACTAAGAGGATATTTCAACTTAAAAAACTCATCCACAAAGTACAGTTTTAAGGAATAGTAAAAAATGAAGGGGAAAGGGTTAAAAATGTACTAGATCATTAGAATCTTAACTACCTCTCTCTCTCTATACTGTTTCTCTCTTGTTAACTTACTCAAACACGAACTACTGCTCTTGCTTCCTGGCTCGTTTTTCATTCACTTCATATGCGAAAGTTATGAAAAAAATTAAATGTTAAGAGATGTTGATAATAGAGTCTGAAGTACCTTCAAACCATCATTATGATCTAAGTTGTATGCGTGGTTTGCCCATGCTGTGTTGTGTGCTAGAAACTGTATGTGATGTGTGTATTTGTGTGTATTTGTGTGCATTTGTGTTCATTTGAGACTGGCCAGCTGAATTTGAGCCATCTTTCATTATATTAGTATAATCAGCCATCCTCAGTTACAGTGGATAATGTTTTTTTAGAAAGATATCCACTGAAGAGAAGAAGAAACTTGGGACAGCGCTCACTCAATTATCTCATCAAGATCTGATTAGGGCATTGGAAATAGTTGCTGAGCATAATCCGAGCTTCCAAGCAACGGCTCAAGAGGTGAACCTTGACATGGATACTCAGGTGATCATTTATATCTCATGCTTGTCAGCATTCTAAATTGACAAGCATGTTTAGATTCTTGATTATAATTTCCAATATATTTCCGTAGCAGCTAATATGTTTTTTTTTATTTAATTTTATTTTCCCATTCCAGAGTGATGTGACGTTATGGAGGTTAAAGGTTTTTGTGCAAGATGCACTAAAAGTTTCTGGCAGGAATTCTGAGGGCACAGGTATGGGGTGCAACAGCAATATTAACAATGATGATAACAAGGCCAAGATCAACATCAACAACAAGAACAGGAATAGCCCTGCTTCCAAAAGGAAAGGAGGGAGGAGTGATGCCGTGACGAGGGCATCTACCAAGAGGACTAAGAAGATCTCACTTAATTCCCTTAATCCCCTTAATCCATAGCCTACCACTGCAGTTTGGGATTTGTTCTGGCGGCAACAATTTACTTTATCAATGGCTTTCGGTTACTTGGTTCCATGGGGAAGTGTTAAAATCAGGAAATTTTCTGGAGATGGGAAGAAATGGCGTATGTGAACAATTGAGAAAAGCGTGGTGCGTATTTGTGGCAGGTGTCACATTCCATGTGTCCTCTCGTGTGGATGCACATGTATAAGTGATATGTGAAGATTGAAGGTTTGGAGGTTCCTCTTATTTGGCAAATTAATCACGTTGAGAGATTCGTGAAGATAGTCCTGTATATATTGGAGGAAAGTGGCAAATAGTGTATATTGGTTCTGTACATATTCTACTCTCTTGAATTACAAGATATATGTTCTGTTGATTCTGACATCAGTTTAAATGTTACGTATGAAATAGTCAGGGATTTGTTTGTTCCTGTCTTTTGACACCAACCCTAGCCGCCATGTTACAAAGAGCTGAATGCCTTGGGCTCCAGGTGCTCTTTCCTGGAAGGAAAATGGGTTCAGGGCTCTCGATGACTCTGTCCTTTCCATCTCCTGATGATAAATCAATGACAATGCGCTTCTTGCTTGATTGACTTTTAATCAGGCAAATGCAGGACTTACACAAGAAATTGCCAGAAGTAAAAGATGTGGGCACCGGTTTAAGATTTTATTTCAGTCATTACTAGCAATTAGCTTTTTGCATATTAACATTTCTCATGTGTTGTGAATGTACATTGGGAGTGAGCAGCATGTTGTGGTGGTATTGTTTTTTAAAGAAAGAACGTTGCATTTTCTGAGATACTTTGGCATTAACCTTGTTCCACCAAATTAAGTTTTCAAGGTGATCACCATAACGCTCTTAAGAACTTTGGAAAGTAGAGACCATATTAGGGTTGTTTTCTTTCTTCTTTCCAATCATTTCGGATTTTCTTTTGGTTTGTTTTCATTATGAATACACCATGTAAACTGAAAGTTAAATTTGTTGTAAGCAAACTGTGGCGTGTCTGATTTTGACATTACATTTGAAAACATTTGCCATAAATCATAGAATTGATTGACAGCAACAGACCATAAATGCCGTGATCTTAATAGAATGATCTTCAGCAGCAGTCCGGACTCGACGCATCTGAGACCAGCAAATGAGCTTAGGTTCAGGTATCAGTGAAAGAAAAGAAGTTTTCCAACAACCAGGTTGCCGACAAGGGACTCTAGAGAGGTTTTTCAACAATGAGATCCATAAACTCTGAAACTAGCTCGAAGTGTGGATTGCAAACTTCTGTTATAACCCTCGAGTGCAAAAATGGTCATCTCAAATGTAAGGCTACCTGCGACCTTATCAACTTGCCTGGAAAATGGGAAATCAAACAATTAGTAAAAAGTAGATAATTTAGTAATACTCATGAGGGGAAAGAGAAATTATCAAAAAGAATGGTAAGACGAGGAAATTTCCACTCCTCATTGGTGGTTTCTTAAATAATCTTGCTGGGGGCTGACGCTTACTTTCTGTTGGATTGTTCCTTGTTGCCTCTTATCAGAATTGAGCTAAGAATCTCTGATAGAAGGTCCTATTCTATTCTTATTTCTTTGTCTGCATGGTATCTTGGAAGAATTTCACCTGGCTCAGGCAAATTGAGTTATTCTGCTATGCTGACTCATGATGCGCCTTCTTGAGCAGGCTACTCAGCTATCATTCTTTTCTCCATCTTTGGACCTCTCAAATCTCATATACCATTAGCAAGAAATGCTTTCATTTCATTTTTATACTCTTTAATTGACTTTTCTCTTATCTTATGAAATGAGGAAAAGGAAATGTAAACAATAGATGAGCATACTAGACATGGAATCAAGTTCACTGAATGGTTTGGCCAGCCCTCAATCCTGATCTGTTTTAAAAAGCCTCCTGAAACCACAATTTTGAAGTATGCTCCGAATCACCAAAGAAAGTAAGATGATGGAGAGAAAGCGTAGACAATCGATACAGAAGAGAGGAGCTACAGATTATTGCAAAAATCTGAGTTTTTACTGACATGAAACCCCTTGGCAGGCACCAAAATAATCATATACACCGAAGTCTAAGATAACTATGAGAGAAATATAGAAATGGCAGGCAAGAAAAGGTGACATATCCGAAGACAAAAATGCAAACTTTTTGTTTACCTTCTGTTTCATAAACAATTGCTGTTGGTACCTCTCCAGAATGACAATTGAGAAAACTGTGAAACGAGTGAGTCCTTGACCCTTGCAGGAACCGATTTGTTAGTCGTTAAGATCTCCTTTGTATCCAATTGAATATCAGAATCACGCCAAAACTTGATGATGTGAAGGCTCTCTTCTTCTGTTGATCTCTGGACAACAATTCTAGAAGCATACCCCTTCTTTCTCATCAGAAGACATATCTGTGAAGGATCATTTGTTGTAAGAGTAACCATGTATAACCATCCCTTATCCGACAAAAGTCTATCAGCTACAGGCAATATCCTATCAATTACACTCCTACCATTCTCCCCTCCAGCCCAAGCTGACGCAATTCCTTCACGACCCACCTCATAATCAGGTGTCGGAACATAAGGTGGGTTGACAACCATCACATCCACCATTCCTGCCAACCTCTTCTCAAGCCCAGATGCAATATCCATGCACAATAACTCGGCATCAACAGCATGAGCATCCAGCGTCTCACGGGTCACTCTCAGTGCATGAGCATTAATATCAGTGGCAAAGTAGTACACCCCAGGAAGCTCCTGTCCAAGCATAAGAGCTAGAGAAGCAATCACATAACCACTACCACAACCCACTTCCAAACATAATCTGGGACAATGATCTAGTATATTAGTTCGATCAGCTAGAAGCGCATCGACAAGCGCAAAGGAATCATCACACGGTTCATAAACCTCGGGATGCGAACTCACAAGGCGGATTTGTGCTGTTTTTGGGGACATCTTGTAAGCAACCTGAACTGAACTGGATTGATCACTTGTTATTTACTGTAAAACGAATCGATTTAAACAATTGCAAGTTTCTATAAACCCTAAACATCGGGGCAGTAATGGGATTCAACATAGAGTAAAATGGCATTATGATTATTATATAACAAGAAACAGTAAGCAATAGAGAAAAGGGAAGAGGGTAAGGAGGCAAAGCAAAGTGAAGGTTTGAGATGTAATAAATCTGGGAATTGAAGAGGAAAACAAAGGGATTACCCGTCTTGTGCAATTCTGCCTCCCCCCCTGCTGCTGCTGCTGCTGCTGCAGATTCGTTATGTTTTACTGATGCTGAAAAAGAATACAGGTGCTGAGAGGTTCTATATTATGGAAGAAAGATAAATGAATGGTTCAGGAGAAGACTCGGTTGTTTAATCAATGAGAAATTATTTTTTTAGGGATTAGTTTTGCTTTGGGATAAAGCTAGGCGTCTAAGTTTATATGAATTTTTCAATTAAATGTTCAGTCTTTAATGTTTTTTTTAATCTTTTTATTTTGGACATTCAATTATAAAATTAAGATAAATTTAGATTATTACAATTTAAAAAAAAAAGCTAAAAAAGATGTTTTAATTTGACAAAAAAACTACTATTTACCCTTGATAATTACATTAAAAAAGGATGTTAATTAATTATTATCACGTTTTTTTTTATAGAATAATTACTTATGACCCTTTAAAAAAAGTTTCTTGTGGGTGAGGGGTTTTTAGGGTTTTTTTATAATTTTTTAATATATATCAATTACTTAAACATCTTTATAAAATAAACTCTTTATGTTAAGAATACAAAGTCATTTTAGATTTTTGCTGGGTTTTTCAGGTTTTTTATAATTTTTTAATATATATCAATTACTTAAACATCTTTATAAAATAAGCTCTTTAGGTTAAGAATACAAAGTAATTTTAGATTTTTGCTGTGATTTTTTTTTTCTAATTTTCGTGTGAAATTAGAAGTGATTTAATATTTTAATATATATATATATATATATATATATATATATATATATATAAAAATTTTAAAGTGGATACTGTCTCTTTTTTCAGGCGGTGCTACAGTGCCTACACAAAACTAAATACTAATTTTTAGGATATTTTTTAATTGAATCTTAAGATTGACTTATATTTTTTTTGTTTCTTAATTGCATATTTTTTAAAAAGTTTTATCCTTTAATATTGGATTGATTAAAAATTTAAATTCATAATTATTTTTTATTTTATTTTATGGAGTTATTTCAATTTCAAAACTTGTGTTTGGCAAGTTAACCCAAGTTATTTTAAGATATTTTTAATTAATTTTTTTTTAATTTAATGCTCAAACATTGGTTGATTAGGAATTGAACTTTATAATTTTTTTATTTTTTTTGCTATAAGATTATTACAGTTTCATGACTTACATTGTAAGTTAACTCAGTTGTCTTAGAGTTTTTTTAATCGAATATTTGTTTTTCAATCTCATTCTTTAATATTAAATTAATTAAAAATTTAATTTTATAATTTAATTTGGTTTACTTTCTATGAGGTTATCCTTGTCTTATAATACGAATCATAGGTTTGGTGTTGATTCAAGTTGACTCAAGTATTTTTTTCATATTTTTTTAATTTATTTTTTTATACTGTAACATGGAGTTAATTGAGGATTGATTTTTATAATTTATTTTAATTTTATTTTTATAAGGTTATTTTAATCTCATAACTCAAGTCTGGTATGTATCTCAGGTGAACTCGGTTCATTTTTCTAATCAAATCTTGTCTTCAATTTCATATTTTAACTTTAGGTTAATTGAAAATTAGACTAAATAATTTTTATTTAATTTCTATAAGGTTATCAAAGTCTCATAACTTGGATAGGAGATTTGATATGTTAACTTAAATTAATTTGAGTAAATTCAATATGTTTATTATTTTAATATTTTTAAAAATATATCATCTTATTTTTTTAGTCAAACTATATATCTACTTTGTATTAATTTAGTCAAATAATCAGTTATTCAAGTTATTTTTGGACATATAAAATTGACTAAATTATATTAAATCAATCCCCATATAATTTAATTTTTTCTACAAATATGTTAACAACATATGAATGTTTTTTTTATGTTCAACAAAAAAATTAATCTAATTCATAATGCAGTGCAGAAAACTTTTTGATAGTGTTATCTATTTTGTTTTCCAATTCTCAATATTAAATATTTATCTTAATTACTCTACAATTTCAAATTCTGAAATAATTACTTTATATTAATTTAAAATAATAAAAATTTAAATTTAAATTTAAAGAATTTTATTTTATCTTTGATTTTAAATATTTTTTTAAATAATATATTTTAGAGGATCTAACTTATATTGTTATCTATAATTACCAATGTTATCTATGATTATAATAATTTATAGTTCATAATATACACCTTTAATTTATACTGAAGTAATTAATCGTATAATAAAACAATGCTAAACTATTAGCAATAATTTATGAGTTAGAGTATATGATCTTTACCGCTCAAAAAATAAAAATCATGATTTATGAGTGATGTATTCATAAAATTCATAATATCTACCAACTAAATTTTAAATTTGTAAGAAAAAATATTTTACATGACTAAAAGTTTTGAAAAATAAAATTATAAACATATTTTTATGGAATAAATTAGAGCTATTTTATAATTTGTTATCTAAAGATTTAATTAAATAATATTAGAAAAATAATATAAAATTATTCTTGAAACCCATCTAATAATTTAAGTTTTTGAATTGAAATAATTTTTTCATATTATATTAGAATTTTATAAATCAAGTGATCACAATTTTAAATCCCATCACCTCAATTCTAATTAATAAAAATTAAGCATAATTTGAAGATTATTTGATATAAAAAATATGTTAAATAAAGTTTCTTCTTTTTTCCAGTAATAAAAAAAAAGAATGAGAATTTTTTTTAAAAAAAAAGTAAGAGTGAAGGAAGTGAGAAAAGCAGGGAAGTGATATCCATAACCACTGTAATTAACTTTTTTTTTTCTAAAATTTGACTCCAGTACCATTACATCAAATAAAATCACCCTCTCTATGCTTCTTTTCCCTCTTTCCTTCCAAAACACCCATTCAGTTTCTACTGCCCCATCTGGAGAAATTGTTAAAAAAAAAAAAATCATAAATCCCTCGTTTTAATTTTAAATCCCACTCTCATGAAATTAACAAAAATTAAAAGAGAAGATGAATTTATTGTTTACTTCCTCTTATAATATTGTTCATTGTTAGTTTTTTTTTCCCCAATCTTCTCTTTTAATGATGGGTTAGCAAGAGATTGAATTTCATATTTGTTTTATTTAATTTTTATGAGATTATTTTGATTTTATGATATTAACAAAAATTAACAAAAATTAAAAGAAAAGATGAATTTATTGTTTACTTTCTCTTATAGTATTGTTCATTGTTATTTTTTTTTCCCAATCTTCTCTTTTAATGATGGGTTACCAAGAGATTGAGTTTCATATTTGTTTTATTTAATTTTTATAAGGTTATTTTGGTTTTATGATATAAATCACAAATTTGATAAATTAATATATATTGACTTGAGTTTGTTTTTTAATTGATTTTTTTTTAATTTTATCCTTTAATATTAAACCGATTGAAAATTGAGTTTTATAACTTGTTTTAATTTATTTTTTATGAGATTATCCTGGTCTCATGATCTAACTTATAAGTTTTACGAGTTAACCCAGATTGATTTTTTTAATTAAATTTATTTTTCAATCCTATTTTTCAATATTTAATTGAAAAAAATTATTGTCGTGCATCAACAAGTCCTAAAGCTTTTGGCTACCCTATTTGTTTTTGCATTTCAAGAGCATTTAAAAAAAAAATATTCTTTTATTTTAAATTAATATATTTTTTTATATTTTTAGATATTTTAATATGCTGATATTAAAAATAATTTTTAAAAAATAATAATAAAATATTATTTTAATATATTTATAAATAAAAAATATTTTAAAAAACATTCATAACCATACTTCTACTTCTCTCCGTTATTCTACTTCTCTCCGTTATTCTTAGGTATCAATAACACGCCTTGGCTTGCAAATTGACTATCAACGGATGCCAATTTCAAGAACTTCAATGTGTCCATCAATGCATTATCAACACCTAAACTTAGATCACTTGAAGTTTTATTTTTAATTATTGTTAAAGATTTTTTATTTATCTATAAGTATATATAATTCTTATTTGATTTGATTATATATATATATATATATTCATAAACTTTTTAATTTACATTTAAATCTTTTAAACTACAAAAATGCATTAAAAAGGCCTTTATATATAATTTTTTTATATATAAAAAATATTTAACCAGGAAAAACGCGATTAACATAAATACTATAGTTAAGTGTCTAAAGCACTGGCTGGGAAAAAAAAGAGTCAAATATCGGAGCAATAAAAGCAAAACTTCAAATCATTTAGACATACCATCCAAATGATGACATAATAATGAAGCCAGGAATTACAATCAAGGTTTGCCAGCGGTTCATCTTTTCCTGTTCTTGTTTTCATGCCTGGACAAAAACAAAACAAAACAAAACACGCCTCGTAGATAACCACAGCTTGGCTATTAACCAAATGCATGCACAATAATAGAGCCAAATATGCTTTTAAGCATTAATTAGTAGCCCCTCTCAAAAAGAAAAACACACCATCAATGATTTATATACTATCAATGGTAACTGTTGCAATGATGGGCCTGGTTATACTGCTTGAGCAGAGTCATCCCCAGTATTCACCACTCCTCATCAGTACTGAATCAATCATCTATATCTTCTTGTTGTTAACAGCTTCTATAATGATTATGATATGTTGCATTAGGTTGGTGAAGTCACTGCTTGTGATATGTGTTGGGTTGTTTAGCTTCTGCAAGCATTTGAACAACTTCTCTCATTGTTGGTCTCTCCACACTCTGTTCTTGAACACATAACATCGCCACAAAAAAGACTTGCATTGCTTCAATTAATGGAATATCTGTCAGCCCTTGATCCAGAATCTTAACCACCCCTTCTTTGCTTGACTTAGTCTGTGTCTTAGTCCATTGAACAATGTCTAGCCCTTCTTCTCCGAAATCCCCAACTGGCCTTCTGCCTGTGATTAACTCTAACAGTACAACTCCAAAGCTGTAGACATCACTCTTCTCATCCACCTTCAATGTGTATGCATATTCTGTTACAAGAAATTGCTTAGCCCTAAGTTTCAAAGTGATAATCTTAAAGAAAATGTGATAGAATAGAAATATTGTTTTTATTTAAAAGAGGGTAACCATGCACTATTGTTTTGGTCAAGTTTAATGGTGAATCTCTGTGACATGTACTGTTGTTTGATAAAGAAAAAGTAGTTTTCAACTCATCTCCCAAGGTAAAGTAACAACTTGTGTACGCTAA